CAGATAAACAAAACAAAAGTCTTTCTACTACTGAATAGAACTTTTAGAGGGATGGTATGTGTTTTATTTGACTTCTTATCTCCCATAAGAAGATGGATTAAACCAAAATCTCATATTTTAGGGAGAGTGAGATGTAATTAAACTAATAATTAAACTTATTTTAACATATTTAAAAGTCCTGACACATCAGACTAGCCAACCACTGAGTCTCTTAATTGGAAGTGAGTCTCTTTCCAATACACCAAAATGTGCCATTGAAGTGTTTATGAAAGGACACTTTTCTGGGGTAAAGCCATTAGTGGACAATATCTAGAGTCCATAAGTAAAGACAGTAGTGAAAGAAGCCAACCTTACACACAAGACCTTTAGTGTATGATCAAACATTTGTTGAATTAAGTTAATACAGGGGCACAGCTCAAACCAACACACAAATGTAAGATATAAAAATTAAATATTTCTACCTCCTATGTAAAATGAAGACAATGCTCACTGTTGAAATGCTTTCAGGTAACAGGACAAAAGGAGCTCTGTGTTAGTTTACCCTTCAATATATCCTCAAGGGCGAGCTGCCAATGAGAAACATGTCAAAAAGTGCATGTCACCACACTTCCCCCACCCCTCCTCATTAGGTTATGATGATGTGCTTTACAGAGAGGAAAAAAAATCAATGGATATTTACATGGAGAAAACAGATAAAAATACATGTCTGAAATTTAAAAAGACCACAAGTGTGGGCTACCTGCTGACAATCTCCTCTCAGATAATGTAAAATACAAATGCAAATTCTATACAATATTTAAAGGGATTCTCTCTGAAACTGCAATGTCACAGAGTAATGTGTCTTACGTAAGTCACAGATATGTAATGAAAGACTTCAATGATGCAATTTCAAGCAATACTGATTATGGCTAAACCTATTTAGCATATGCACTTTCTCTAAAATATCTATAACATACCCAATGATCCAAAATAATTCTAAAATTAATAGCTATTATAAACGAACAGAATAAAAAGTAAGTCAGTTTCCTGGGAAACCTCTGAATGAATGAATTATATAAACATAGTATCAACTTGGTAATCTTTATTTAAAAAGTTTTACTATATTTTTTACAGTCTGTATAATTTAGGAGGCAAATATAAATTCATCATCAACAAAGTCGAACATAAACTATAAGCTAAGTACACACAACAAATAGGCATAGTTAACCATTTATTTGTAGCCTTTTAATTCTGAGCAGAATTACAAAAATGGTAAAGTCTAGGATTCTAGCTGGTCTAAAGAGAAGTGCCTTCTACAAAACCAACAACCTCTTGGCTCAAACAAACCTGGAAACTTTAACTTTCCCCTTTCCCTTCAAAGACATGTCACCAATTCCTTCACTACCAAACTTCATTTACAAGTGCTTAAAACACACACAAGATAAGGCAGGTGACTCCTACATCAGGCCAAATATATAATTTCCTCAATACAAAATACAATAAAAGCGATTTTATTAGTTTAATTTTGTTTTCAGACCATCTCTAAAATAATAAAAATAAAAACACTGATGCTCTTAGCAGCAACTTATAAAACAGTCCCTTAGAGATTTTAATTTTGGGTTAAGGTATGCATGTTAAATAGATATAGACTGGTGTGTTTGATCAGAGTGGTTAAATTACTTGTAAATTTGACTCTAAAAGAAAATGGCATTACAAGAAACCTTTTATTCCTGAGAATAAAAACCATCCTAGTCAATACGCCTCTGTAAACAATACTGACACAACCCTTCCTGCTGTCTCCTGTACCCTTGCTTCCATGATAGGAGTTTCATAATTTATCATAACTACACATATTATGGTCAGAATGCCGCAGGTAATATTTAAGTATGTTGATGCCATGCCAAGTCATCTCTGAAACATCTTGACTCTGCCTGCCCCCAAAACCACCGCTTTTAACAGACCAGCTGAGCGAAAGAGGTGGCAGCTTTAAGACAATATGGGGTGTCAAAAGCTCAAACTGACTCAGTTTTAGAAAGAAAAAGTTACAAGATTTTCCTTTATCATGAGGAAGATTGTTGTCTCACTTCTAATTCAATTGTTTTTCTGAATCTATGTGCAAAAATTTGTAAGCTGCAGACAGATGTATCAAATATTTGGTATTGTTACTCAATAAAAGTTAGGATTTAAGGGTCCAAGGCAAATTTATCTAGGTCACACTGCTGAGTCTCAGGGTTTGCACTAGGTCATACAATTAATAAGAGTTAGGACTAAAAAATCAAGGTGTCCTTGGGGCTCAAATCTGTGTGTTTATCACATAGTACACTGTCACTGATAATTTGACATGAATAATACAGATGTCAGTTTTGAAGTGGTGGTCAGATTCCTTAAGGGTTAAGACTGAGAATACAAATTATATACTCATATTTGATTGAATTGTTAGAACAAAATGATGCCATAAAAAGTACACAGAACAATTAAGTTTCAAGAGTGAGGAAAAAAGTATTTAAAGCAAAAATTTTTTAATCACCCAAGCTGTTTTTGCTTTTGAGATAATTTCCATGAACGGATTCAAGAAATGCAGCTTTATTTTGACACCATGATTTTCATAGCAGTAATAAAGAACAGTCTCTAGCAAGTTACAGAATTTTGAAGGCTAGAAACAAAAAACTATTAAAGCTCTTTCAAAGTTCAGACAATAGACATGTATCTATCTAGACTTGAGGTCTAATAAGGCAATTCTCATCCTGAAAAGAACACTAAATATTTAAGACTCTTTTACTTCAACTCAAATTTCTGCCTTGAAATCTTCAGTTTCCTTCAAAGGCAGAAATCTGGGAAGCCAATCCTGACCCGACCTCCTTCTCCCAGCATACGACACTGCCAGCTGCAGTAGCACCCAAGGCACTGGACCAGAGAGTGCCATCCCTCACCCTCTACCTTTAAGTAGAACTAATGTTTCTAAAATTCATTACTGGACAGGTCAGGTAAGATAAAATTGCTTCCTAAAGGACACCAAGGGCTCACTTTTCTCTGACTTTTTGAAAGTCTCCAAAACCAAGAGGCTTGGTGAAAGAACATGAAGCTGAAGGCTGACATCAACAGTGTAGATTTTTAAACCATCAAGGTAGCTTTTTTTTAGTATCCATTTTAAATGAGTTCGGAAGAACAAAGTCCAGCTTATTTTTGTGGTGCAGAAGCCTGAGACATTTCCTCTAAGAGATGGAGAAAACATTCAGAGGGAGGAACAGCTTCTGCAGTGAAATGATGACTATACCTGACAGTCTCTTAAGCTGAATTCTTCACGTGGTGACCCGACAAATAAGGATATTACACTGGGCCAAAGAAAATTGTATTAATGATTTTTAGACAATACATATTTTCAATGGATAAGAGTTTAAGATGGAGAATCTATGTAGTTTATTTTTCAGGTCACTCAAAATTTTAAATCAAGAAAAATAAAGATATGCAAAAAAGGGCCAACGACTAAACAGTAAACAATGACAAGCGATTAAAGCCAAACCATCAACTTACTAAGTTATGTTCACCTGGACCTTTGCCCAGAACACAAAAATTTGCAGGAGAAACGCTGGTGGTTTAAAGGGAACAAGGGTTCTAAATTTGCTGCCTCATTCCTTTATCTGAACAGCTAATCCTGACCCTGCAGAACCTTCCTCTGCTACTGGTTCTACGAAACCATAACCACACCAGAAAACCCAGCAGGGTACCAAAGCTCTTCCGTGGGAAATCCAATGTTCGAAAAACTCGTAGAGAATATATTACAAAGTTAAGATCCGAAATTTTATGTTCTTTATAATGATCGCGCCAAGATTCTGGCAAAAGACACAACGAAGCATTTAAAATCTCTCAAAATCCTTTACGGTAACTAAACAGACAGCAAAATCACCTGCAGTCTCCCGAGCTTATGGCCTTTGCTTTCACAAAAAGCTTCCCCCCTCCTCCCTTCGAAGATTGAGTTCCTTTAAGAACCACCACCTGCTCATGGTGCTTTTTTTTTTTCCCCCTGGAGAAGGCATCTGCACTGCAGATCTCTGCCTGAAGGGAGCTTGCCAGCCAGCTCCCACCAGCAGGCAGGCGCGTATACAATGGAAACTAAAAGCGGCCTGCAGATTCCCTCCTCGTCTTTCAGAGAGATGGAAGGGGGTTCCACCAGCCCCTGCTTTGTCTGAACTTCTCCCCCTCCCCCTTTTCTGCGGTAAACACCCCCTTTTGTTATACTGCAATCAATAACAGCCCGCAGAAGGCACGAAATCAAAATACGTTGATGGCTGGGCCTGACTCTATTATCTTCTAGAATATAAGCGACTGATTGCATGTCTCCACCCCCACGCCGCGCCAGGGATGAGAAGGCTGTGTTGCACATGCAGCCACGGATCCATCTTGGACCATCAGCAGCTCCCTCCCCAAATTTCCCTTAGCTATTCTCATTACGCCTCCTACCTCGGAGCCCCAGAAAAATCGGGCATTTAGGGAGTCTGGCCACAAAATAGTAAAAGCAGATGAAATCGGTATAAAAAAATGGCTGTAATGTTTAGTTAACTTCCTCGTCCCTTCCATGGGCAACAAAAAAAGAATTTTTTTTTGTTAGACTGATTATGTCAACACCTGTCCGCAAACCTCCAATGCAACCCTTTCACCACCATGCCCTCAAACTCCTAACTAATCGTTCCTCCTACCACCATCCTGCCCAATCCTCTCAATCTCTCTAATCCTCCGCTCAGTCACCCCGGTTCGGTGGACGGCTCCCCGGATCTGGTGTTTCCCCCCACCTGTCGGGTCTTGGCGTTAACGCCCACTCTCTAGAATACTTCCCCGCCCCCAACCTATTTTCCTTACACCCCGTTATTTCCTCACCGCCCGCACGACCCTACGCTCCCCTCCCCTTTAGCCCATTTCTAGACGCTCGTCCCCCGGGGCGGCCGCCTCCGGCGGGAAGGGCGATCCGCCTTCCTCCTGGCCCCCTCCGTCCCCTCCCGAGGGCGGGGTCCCCCGGCGCGCCTCACCCGCACAGGAGGAGCCGCAGCTCTTCGCCCCCAGGGCGGGGCAGGCTCCCGGGCTCCCGCCGCCGCCGCCAGGCGCGGACGGCTCGGCCCCGGAGGACGACGAGGAGACTGACGGGGACTGAGTGGCCGCCGACGGCTCCGCCATGGCTGCGCGAGCAAGGGCGGGAGAGGGGTGAAGAGAGATGTGGGGCGGGAGAGAGGGAGGGGAGAGAAAATAATCCGGCAGCTGACTCTCCGAAGCCCCTTCGCTCCTCCTGCTCCGCGGACAGACTCCGACAGACTGACTCAACCGAGCGCAGCGAGAGGGCGGGAGCGCGAGCGCGCAGGCGCACAAAGGGCCCCCGGCGGGCGGCGGGCGGCGGGGGCGGGCGGCGGCAGCGTCGAGGCGCCCAGCGACGCAGGACGCAGGCGCAGGAACTGTCCCTCCGCGATCCTGCGGGGAAGGAGGGGCAAAGCTGGCTTCGAGCCGCGCCCCTCGGGGTGGGGGGACATGACGCAAGGGGCGTGACCAAGCAATAAGCTCCGTCCATCACTGCGGCCCAAGTGGGAGGGGGGCAGGAGGGTTCGTGTTTCTTCTTTATGTGAATGTCTTAGGGTCGGCAAATTACGTGTTTTAACGAGAGACATTTCTTTTTGCTTTAATTAGGTGGGGGACTATCTTTCCCATCAATTCCAGAGCCTTTGTCTTTCGTCTGATGTGTTCCCACCTGTGACTCCAAATGAAAAATGAAAACCACTGTGTGAAGTAGGCCCACTCAGCTTTACGAATTTTTCTGGATGTGTCGCAATATCTCATAACCATGAGGCAGAGATGGCACAGTCTCCCGTTGGGTAGGTGGAGAAATATGCTCTACAGAATGAGAAACTATTACTCATTCCAATCACATTGCAGTGCAGCCGCACGACCTACTTCGTATTCTTTCTTATCTCATTACTGTTCCCAAAGAGGGGTCCGCCTGGGGTCCTAAGGTCGTCCTTTCCTGCGAATAGGCTATCAGGTAGAGAAGGCATATTTTGAAGGAAAAAATCCTGAGAAAATTTAAGAGCGGGGAGATAATGTCCTGGCTGTGTTTGGTGGGATGGTAAAATGAAGCACTAAAACTGGAGAATATGGCACAAAATACACATGATTTTTATTCATAGCCTAAACGGGGTCCTTAGCAGGAAATGTATTTGAAACCAGATATCTATCTTATACTAGATCTTGTTCATTTTTTGCCTTCTCCTCGGTTAGTTTACAAAATTTAAAGCCTTCCCCCTACATTTGGTCAAAATATTTGTAATATGCATAATAATTTTAAACAGAGAAACAGACTGGAAATAATAAAACTCAAGGCTATGGGCCTTATTGTTGCTAAAGCAGCAATCGATGACCTGAAGGGCAATTGGCAGAATCAGCAGATCCTGTAAAGATGCTGCCTCATGAAGGGTGAGGTACTCAGCCAGGCAGCCACAGAAAGGAAAAGCGATCTGACCAGTGGAAATCTTCTAGAACAGTGCACTACATCTGCCCTTGACAGTTTTTAAGGTCAGGTAAAGCCCAGACAGTGGGAAACACACACACACACACACACACACACACACACACACACACACACTCAAACTGGCTATTGCAACACTCTGAAAAAGGACACAGAAGAATATTTCCCATAATAACTGTAGCAGATACCTTACTCTGGCACTTATATCAGTTGACAATGCAGCAATATGTCCTTTAGATGACAAAGGGAGATACAAACCAATTGGATAGCCAAGCCATTTATTTACCCATTCTGATGAGTGCATAAATTTAAAAAAATCTGTTAGTAGGTGCTGGATAAGGAAATGAATGATGCTGGTCCCTAACCTTGACAGAAAATGCTAGAATCTGGCGCCCCTTGCTGGAAAGGCATCCCATTTCCATGATCTCTAGAAGAAAAGAAATTAAAAGTCAAGACGCTAATGTGGTCTTGGTCTCTTCAGATCCTTCAGATTTTTTACATAAGAGACTTTTGTGCTGGGTCCAGTCCCTAAAGCTGTTTTTCCTTCCTGTTCTCTCTTGCTGTGTTAGTAAACCTCCCTGACACTGACACGTGCTTGGGATGTTATTTACATGTATGATTTGTTTCAGAAATATTTACTAATCACCTGTTGTGTGTTTGACACTATCCTGGGAAATCTGGAGGAATCCAAAAAATATGTTTATCCTGTCCTCAATGAGCTTACAAGCTAGTTGGAGCTTAGACCATACTCACATAAAATTGAAAAATACAAATTAAATAGCAACCAAAAACAACCCCAAATAACACAAAATTATAATGCTATAATTAGATGGCAAGTGAATTCTATGAATTTAAGAGGGGAGCGAATCACTGTGGAGTTATAGTGGCTTGGGGAGGTTTTATGAAGAAGCCCCAAGGCAGATAAGGGTTGGGAGTGGTAAGGAGGCCATTGAGAGCAGGGGAGAATGGTGTGAAGCAAACGCAGGGGCTGCTTCTGTGCAAGTTATACAGTAAGACCTTATTCTAGGCAGACCAATCACAAAACAGCACCCCTTCCTCCCAGCCCAGCCCATGATACATGTCATTGCTGGCTCCTTGAGCAGAAGTGGTCTAGATTTGATCCCCTCCCGCCCATTCCCCCCACACTGCCTCAGTGTTAATACCTAGGTCATCTGTGGTGGCTGCAGTTTCGAAAGTGTGACTGTGTATGTTGGGTGTGGTTACCCCAGGTTGGCTAGAGATGAATTGGGATAAGAAAGAGATGAAATAGGGGAGATGTGTTGGAGTCAGAGTGTGGAGATGCAGTAACATAGAACTAAAGAATTGGGCTTCATCTTAAGGCTAATGGGGACTCAATGAAAGTTTTCAGGCAGAGTAGGGCCCCCATGGGATTTTTACTGGAGCATAGCCATTTTTCAGTTCTACGGAGCAATTTTTACTGCTGAGGCCCTGAGCGGGGCCTGTTCTTCCTCGGCCCCATCCTTTGAGCACTAGCATTTACACACAGCTAATTTCCCACCTTAGCTTCTAAGCCATCTCATTACCCCATCTTTTTCTTCACTTTTAGAAAAAAAAAAATTATGTGATTTAATTAAACATTTTTTGAATATATTCACATCATATATATGTTCATATATACATGTTTTTTCAAAAGTATATACAACATATCAAAGTTTTCTTCTATCACTAACCCCTTTCTGCCTACCAGTCTCCCCCTCTACATTCACATAGGCAACTACTGTTAGGAGCTTTTTGTGGCAAATACAAAGGTGAATATAGTGAATCTATATCCTCATTTACCCTTTTTAATACAAATGATAGCATGCTATACAGTTAGGTACCTAGCTGCCTTTCCTTAACAATAAATTCTAGTGATCTTTCCTAATGTCCTTCTGAAGCGTTAGCTGTGCTGTTGGCTGAAATAACAAGAATGAAACAGGTCTTGAGCTTTTACTGTTACTATGTGTTACCGTGTTGAGGGCCTGATTCTTAGTTTTATAACACCCAGTGAGTAGGGGTTGCCTATCTTCTTTTTATAAATTAGGACGCCAAATCATTACTTCATTTAATACATGAACAAAGTAAGTTACAAATATTTAAATGACACCCAGGGATGCCAGTAGTCCAGTCTGTCCCTTCCAAGTGGCCAGACTGTTGCTTAAACATGGATGCTGCAAATAGGTGGTAGGAGAGAAGGCTGAACTGTGTCCCAGCATAGTCACAGTGACTGGTTCTTTACTTGGCTATTTACCCACAAGACTGTGAGTCTCTGGAGGACCAGAATGTGTCCTATGCGTTGTTTCAGCATTACTGCCTAGTCCTGTTCCTGGCACATAACAAATGCCCTCTTTTTGAAAGCTTTGGAACCTGAGTCACGGCGGATGTCACTGCAGAAAATAATTTTGCGATTTTTGTGCTTCATAAAAATACTTGAGTATCTTGAGTATTTATGACTTTGTTTTGCTTTTCCAGAATGAATATGATTACCAACTTTTGAGCCCTGTGTATCACTCATAATTGCCAAACGCTTACATCTCATTTAACCTACAACTCTGAGTATTCAAATCATTTGACATCAAAGAGGTTAAGTAACTCACCCAAGGCTGCACAGCTACCTTGAGCATCTGAGCGAGAATTCAAAGCTAGGTATGACCCCAAAGCCAGTGGCCTTACCCGTTCAAACATGTCTACATGTCACCTACTTCTAAAAAACCACAAGAGAAGCTCAGCCTCTGGTCATACCCCATGATTCAATTCAGAGTGAGATGCCTGAAGGCAGGCTGTAATCATTATTATCAACATTTAGCATTTTGAATGTCCACTGTTTTGATCACCTGGGATGGCTGAGAAATAGCAATAACAACAAAACATGTTTCTTGTTTGCAGGGGTTGCTTTTTGAATTGTGACTAATCCTAAAGTCTACCTATAACTTGTTCTGTGTTGTTCCAAATGTCCAGAACTTCTACAAGGTATGGGCAAGGCTGATGTGCTAACATTGACCTTGATAATGTTATATTGAGACAGATGTAAGTATTTGCTGGTCATTTCCTGACAGGATGGATTTCAATGGGTCTCTGTTGGTAGCCTTTAAAATAGAACAAGGTATTTTGTTCAAAAGCAACAGTAGGCACTTAATAATTAAAGGAATAAGAAAGTGAGTGAGCAGTGTTAGGTCTAACATACACTTTCATTCATCCATTCAATAAATATTTGATATAGCTGGAGATAAAGAAGTGAACAAAAACAGACAAATATTCCTGTCTGTTTGGAACTTACATTCTAGTGGGAAGAGATAAACAAAAAGGAAAACATAAGTCAGATGGTAAGAAGTCTTATAGAGACAGGGAAGGGGAATAAAGAATTCTGGGATGTATGTGCAATTTAAAATTTTTAATCTGTGATGTAATTGTGACAAGTCATTGGCCTTTAGCCCCTCTGTCTTTCTGAGCCTGCCACATAGTGCCCTGGATTTATTTATTTATTTAATTCATTTTTAATCTGTAATGTAATTGTGACAAGTCATTGGCCTTTAGCCCCTCTGTCTTTCTGAGCCTGCCACATAATGCCCTGGATTTATTTCACAGCCTGTAGGTCCTGCCTTCTGCATGCCCAATGTGAAACACTTGCCCCGATGTTCATGTCTAGTTTCTTGCTGGCCCCAGTTGGTCTAGATCTAATCTAGATTCTTAAATCTAAAGCTTGGAGGATATTCAAATAATCTTGAGAGTTTTTTCAGAAGGAGCAGAGGAAATCAAAACAAGACCTCTTGAGTTAATATTAGGTAGAATTACCTTTACTTTTTCACCTCTGACCTAATCACTATCTGTTTAAAAGAGCTTAAGGCCTTGGCAGGGCCTAGAGGTAGCTGTAAGGGGGTTCTATGGGTTATAATAGTTCAGGCAGAGGCAGAATTTAAAAAGTGAATAATTTATCAATAGTGACGCCAAGAGGTGGTGGTGGTGCGATAAATGCTTTAGCCTCCCTTAAGCTCCTAAGCTACTTTCCCTCAAGAGAACCGCCCCTACCCCAACAAATACAAAATAACAATACTATTCAATTGTGGCAACTGACATTTTCTCAATCACATGTTAAGTGTGAATAAAAACATTTTCGGAGAACTTTGTTTCGTACTGATCTACAACGCGGTTTAGCTTTTAGAGTGGTAATGGTGCATCATCAGGCTTGGCCAGCGACGGGAACATGGTGTGAAGCTAACGATGGTAATGAAGTCAAGACCTCCTCTCCTTGTTAAGTCAAAATCGTTAAAAAGCCAGTGCTGCTCACGTTACCCAAGGCTGAGGTCTTCCTTCGGTCCTTAGGGCAGAGTGCCGCCCATCTATGGCCCCTGCAAGCGTTCAACACCGAAACCGTCACAAACGCGGCTGGTAGGGACTAGAAGCCGGTCATCCCAGGGGCTCAGTCCTGGCGCTGGTCCCAAAGCCAGGAGCGGGGCGGGGCTCCCTGGCGGGCTCGGCCCCGGGCCGGCCCTCCCCTCCCCGCACGGCCTGCTGGGAGTTGTAGTTCAATGGTCGAAGAGCCGAGAGAAGCCTCGTCCCTCTCACCTCATCCCTTCCCAAGATGATTGCGCAGAACGAGGCCCGTTGGCGGGGGACCCAGAGAGCATAGGACTACAATTCCCAAAACACCGTCGCCGCGTGCGCAGCCCCAGGTAGTCGGCGGCGCGCTTGGCGTTCCTGCGCACGCGTACACGCATCGGGTGGCGGTGGGTTCGGCCGCGTGCGCTTTCCCGCTCGAGCCCGCCCAGCGCTCAAGCCTCCCGTCCGGCCTCACCCACACGCCCTGGTCTCGTTGCCTCGCGGCTCCGGGCGTCCCTCCTCCTCAGTTTTATCTAGAGCCCAGGCTCCGCCCGTTTCCCGCCTCCAGGGCTTGGTTCGTTCCCGCCCCATCCCGCCCCTCCTTGTGCCCCTGCTGCTTCTGCTGAAGGCGGAGGCTCCATGTTGTCCCCTCAGCGAGCGGTAGCGGCTGCCTCGGGAGGAGCAGGTGAGGCGCCTGATTTCCCCCGTGCCCGCTCCATGGCCACCCCCGCCGCCCTCCCTGCTATAGCTCGTAAGAGATCGCCCGCCCGCCGTGCCTCCTTGTCTTGGGGCTGGGACCGCACGCCACTTGCCAGGGTCTCTCGGCCCGCGAATTCGGGGTCGGGGGCTGCTCACTCCGCCCGGTGGGTGGGTCGGTCGCGGGCGGTGCCTTCCTCGGCCCCCCAATAGGAAGCAGTCGTCTTCCGGGGTCGGACCCCGCGCCCCGGGGAGGCCGCTAATGCTCCTCTCGGCTGTTGCTGTGGGTCTGGTGCCAGCGCACCCCCGGACAGAGGCTTCGGCTCTGCGGGCCCCGCCCTGGGCAGAGACCCGCGCCCCGAGACTGCTTCCCGCTCCCTGGCCCGGCGCTTCGCACGCTTATGAGCCGGGAACCTTGGGCTGTGTGGCTCTGGCCTTGTTAACGAGCCGAGGGAGCGGTAGGGCAGATGTTGTATTGTTCAGCTTTTTAAGAAGAGCTTGGAGAGCTGCGAAGCGTCTTAAGAGTTGGAAGCTGTATTTTTATCCTAACGACCTTGAGATACACACCGCTAGAAGTATTAGGAAAGTTGGTTTTCAACCCACACTTAAACTTCATAAAAGAGAGATAAAAGAATGTGGCCTAAACTAGTTTTTAGGAAGTTCCTTTAGTACGTTTAATACAGTACGTTGATCTTTTGCTTCTTGAAGATATAAAAATAGTGAAAGTATTAAATAAAAACCAAAGTCACTTAAATTCATGGATACAACTGCATCTGTCATTTACTTGGCTTCATTCTTTAATGTGTGTGCTGATGAATTTGCCAGAAGTTTCACTTAAGAAATCTAAAGGCAAAAGAAAATATTGTTTGAAGAATCTTTTAGTAAATAAATACCAGCTCTCAAATTTGAATACAAAGTTGGGTGGAACGTTTTGTGGAAAGGAGAAAAAAGAGCGGACCAAAACGTGATTTCACATTTTGACTTTTTGGAGAAGCGAACCTACGTAGTAGTTTTAATCCTTGGCAGGTATTCAGCATTGCAGTGTACTGAAATTGAAATGAGTGCTTTTTTTTTTTTTTTCAATCACAGAAACTAGCCGTACGGGTAGTTTAGAAATCCCTGTCGCTGCTTTTAACACCTACAAAGGAAACGCTTGGATGAAAAGATCTCTACATAACGAAACGTTACACTAGTACAGCCAGCACATTGTTTTATTAGCTATGGTTTACTGTCTCTTTGGAGTAAACATGAAATTAAGAAAAATAACTAGAGGATAAATGTGATGATGTGTACTAACTAGCATAATTTTCTTAGTTTCTACTAAATAGGACTTCTTTAGAATTGGCTTTTTAAATATCGATTTTCTATGATACAGCACATGCATTTTTCATTTTTATGGTTTCTAAATCAAAATAAAGGATCTAGTTATACTAATTATGTAAAATAAAATAATAGAGATCTGTAAGAAGCAAAAAATATCGAGTCTTGGCTACCTTCCCAATTCCCCAGTGGTAGTCATTATTAACAGTTTGGTCACATTTTTTTAAGATTCCTTAAGGAACCCTACGTGTGTGAACTTGTTTAAGAACTGGTTTTGAATTTACCTATAATACCTAGGCTTACCTGTTAAAGGCCTTATGTTTCATATTGAGAAATTGTTCAAATAACAACTACATTTCAAAATTAGTTTGAATTTTAAAACATTTCCTCAAGTTATGATTGAGATTTTAGAAACATAGTCTCTAAAAAATATAAAGGGGAAAAAGAAAAACAAATCTTTTAGTTGCTGTAGAGCTGCGGTTCTCAGCACTGCTGCAGGTTAGAATAACCTGGGGTTTTTTAAAACCTGCCAGTGCTTGGGACCCACTCTTAGATTCTGATTTAATTCATTGGGGGGGCCAGGCAACAGTTTTAAAAACCTAAGTCTAATTTGCAGACTAATATATAATCAAATTTCCTTATCTGTGGTTGCTTAAATTTGAATTGATTTTTTTACTACTAGGAAGTATAGTTCATAGTATCAATATTTGTTTTAGAAGTTGATGCTCTTCTGTGCAAATTTCTAAAAAAATGCTTTTTATTGGCAAGTGTTTTGATTGTTAAAACATGTTAGAAATATTTCCCAACTAAAGTATATTAGAGATCAGGAAACAGGCTTTACTAGTATAGTAGGCAAATAAGCAAAGGAGTAGATTGATTCTTTTGCCTCGAAGTGATAAGGAATCTAAGGCAAATAAATATTGCCAATTAAGAAAGCCTCATTCAACTAGGACACAGATAATTAAAACCTTCAGGTAATCAGATTGATTCTCATTTTTAGGGAAGTCAGATATTGACTATTGAACTCATCTATTAAAAAGATTTCCCCCGCCCCATAAGTGTATATAGCCTGGCATCATTTTAAAATTCAGCCAGGTCTCTGGACTTCTGAATCTTCAATTCTGTTTAGTCATAATTGATCTTTATAAATCTGAAGCACTAAAAAATCCTTAATTGACAAAATGTGGTTTTGTTCAGCATTCTGTGTTGCAGTGCAGTGATTTTCTACAACAGATCAATTGAAAAAACTTCCTCTTAAACCCTTTAATTAATTAAGATGTAAATTTTCCCCAGTATTCTATTTAGGTGGGTTTAAGTAGTTTTTTTTCATTGAAAACAGACTTAAAAATTTGTGTTATCTACCATCATTATTCTTCTACCGTAAGACAAAATAGAGTATATGAAAGTACTTCCTCACATCACCAAAAATGAACCACACCCAACAGTTCTAGAGTTGGCTGAGGGCTTAGTGTACTTAGCCTCACACATGATGATGTGTTTTCTCTGGCCTTGTCTGTGAATTAGGAGGAACTTTAGGACTGCCAGCAAGAACAAGGCATGAAAATAACATGCTTCTGTTTTAGGGTGTGTTCTTTCCCTTTAGGAGACTGTGGTATTTCAAAAGGAGAGTGGAAAGCTCAGGTCATAACTTTACCCTGAGTCATGCACTCTACTCTGATATGTTTCTGTAACTGTAGTTAATTTGCTTTTCAGAACTCTTTGGGCATTAGGGATGAGCACTGAGGCTGGCTGCACCCCAGCGGTTCTTACCCAGAGTAATTTTGCCCCATGGGACATTTAGCAAAATCCGAAGATGTTTTTTGGGTCTCTTAACCAGGGAGGAGTGCTTCTTACTGTTATTGAGTGGGTAGAGGCCAGAGGTGCTGCTAAATATCCTACAATGAATAGAATAGTTTCCCACAACAAGGAGTCATCTGGCCCAAAATATCAGTAGTGCAGAGGTTGAGAGACCTTGGTCTGTGGTGTCAAACTGTTCAGTTAAATTTGGTATGAATTTTTCTGAAAAGGCAATTGTAATTGCTTTTAATTAACTAGTTTCATTGAATTTGTCACAGTTCAGGTGGTCTCAAATATTTGAGGGGCATTTAAACTTTTTTTCCATAATGCTTTTCTGATGGAACTTATTTCTTAAAATTTATGTTTTCTATAGGACTGAAAAGGCCAATTATGATTTAGTAGTCATGTCTACTTTAATTTAACCTGTGCAGCTCTTTTTTTTAAAGTCCTTTAAAAATTTAAAGTTAGATAATTCTAGGAGTCGATGTACAGATCTCTACAAATTCTTCCCTATTATAATTTCACCTGTTAGTTTTTCAACTTCATTCTGGCTGGGTTGTCTTTCTTTGTCTTTTTTGTACATAGCTAATCTATTAAATGCAGTTTTTGTAGAGATTATTTGAACAGGCATATTTAAATCTATTGGTTATCTGGGTTAAGGCATAGTCTACCAAAAGTAAAGGATAAATCAGTACTTTAAAAGTAATTAGGTCTACGGCCATGCTACCCTGAACAAGCCCGATCCCTTCTGATCTCGGAAGCTAAGCAGGGTCTGGCCTGGTTAGTACTTAGATGGGAGACCACCCAGGAAGACCAGGTGCTGTAGGTGTAAAACATAAAAAAATAAGGGATTGTAAATTGACAAGATTGTTGCAATCTGTGAGGTCAACCAAGGGTTGCCTCACCTAAAAAAAAAAAAGTTAGGAAAAAAGTTGTAGCTTGCACGTGAACTATTGGAGAACTTTTTAATTATCCAAATATTTTCAACATTTCCGCATTGTTGAAACGATGGCTCATACAGTATTACCATGAGCTATTTACAGCAATATCAGAACTGGCAGTATGATAAAGAATTATTACTCACTTTTTTAAAAAAAAAATCATAGGTTTTAAGTTTCCTTACATATATATGGATGACATGTGACTATGGTCAGGCCATATCTCTGTGTGTCCAAAAATGACACATCTATTCATGTAAGTGAACGTAATATGTGATGTAGCATTAACTCTTCATATAAATGAGCATTAGCTGTTCAGATAAGTGAGCATTACTACAGTTGTCTCAGAGTACGTGTCTAGACCTTGGAAAAGAATTGCTTCACTAAAGAGAGAAGGCATATTAGGTTGCCGCGTAAAGGTTTCTAGTACCATCCCTGGAGGTTAGATCTCCAGAGTTTGAGATTCCAGAGAAGTGGGAGTGATTTCACTGCAGTTAGGGGCCCCTCCCCTCCAAGAGAAAACCCCAGAGTCTTTTGTGTGGTTCCTTACTGAGCAAGTTGCTTTAATGTTTTTATCATCATAAATTTTAATTTGTTTTTTAGCCAGGCCTATACACTTTAAGCCAAGGGGTGAATAACTCACCTAGCAAGTTTGGCCAATTTAGATATCCAGGAAATGTTCAGTAGTTCAGTTGTTGAGTTTTAGAGCTAGAAAGGAGCTTCACATAACTGCTTGATTTTTGTAGAGGAAACCGAGACATAGAGAAGTTAAGTAATTTATTCATGCAGTTACAGTCAGTGCAAAACTGGGCCCCTGGTTATTGGGAAAGGCCTTTCTCCTATACATATTGCTTTACTAGAATAACAACCTTTGCCAAAACAGGAGCTTAAGTTATGGAAGGAAGAAATAATAGGATTTGGCGATATATTGCGTATAGGAAGATAGAGTCAGAGATGATGTGGAGTCTGAAAGGCGGAGGTTTGAGAAAGGTGGAATAACTAAGGATTCATTTCGGTGATACCAAATATAAACTTACAAAATGTTAATACTGGGAGGGTTGCTGGGGATTAAATCGACGCATTTTACTCTTGAGACTGTAGACTAGACATGCCCAGAATCACGCAGGTTGTTGGTGGTAGAACTGGAGCAGGATCCTGTCTCCTGATTCTTTGCCCACATATGTCTACATATTACTCCTGAGAGTGAGGTGGCGGTAGAATATCCAGGTTAATCTGCCCCTTAGGCAAGTGTACATTTGGACATGAATGCAGATTACAAAATAATGAAGTTATATCACCAAAGTAGAGGGTATAGTGAAATTATAAGAATAAAGAGCTCATTGAGGGAGTAAATGAGAACTGCGAAAAGACTGAAGCAGAGCATTGGTGTATCTCACAGGAGGCTGAAAATAAGAAAAACTAATGAAAAGAGATGATAAAGAGGTTGGAAGAGAACTTGGAATGTGCCCTGTCACTGAGTCCATAGGTTTTTAAGAAGTTATAAGTGGGTGGCAGTTGTGTTTTGTCACGAGAGAGTGAATTGAATGAGAATCGAGACAGGGCCATCGGTTTTGGCAAAAGGTCATAAATAGAATAGTTTTGACAGAGAAATTGAGTGGAAAGTCCGATTGCAAGGTGGTAAGAGAGGAATGGGTAGATAAGCGGATGAAGACATACCTTCAAGGAGTTTGACAATAAAAGAAAGACTGGGAGGAGGAAGAGAAGGAACTGATTTTTCTTGAGATGTACTTTGGATTTAATGTTCACAATATCAGGAAACTATTATTCCTATGTTAGGTACCGGGGCTGAATGTGACAGTTTCTCCCCAAGAGCTCCCAGTCCAGGTGGTAAGTCATAATTACAATGTGATAATATTGTAATGAGTAGAATAATAGTATGTACAGGGTTTAATAGAAATAGGAAAGAGGGTCCACTTTGAGTTCCTAATATGTGTCAGACACTGTGCTTTGAGATAGGTATTAGATTTATAAATAAATAGAGTTTCAAGTGGTTAGAAATTTATCTATAGTCACATTGTGACTAAATGGTGGAGTTTATTCCACAAATGTTTATTAGATGTCTAGTAAGTGGGCACTATTCTGGGATCTTGGGGGATATAGCACTGAACAAGAGACAAAAATTCGTGCCCTCGTGGAGCTTACATTCTAGAGGAAAGTAAGGATTCAAGCGCTGCCCTGGCTTGATTCCAGAGCCTCTTTTCTTTCTAGTATACCATGTGAAGTGACAGGCTCTGAGAGGATGGGGTGGGAGGATCAGGACAAAGGGAAGGTGAAGGTGAGTGTTGAAGGATGAGCAGATGTTTGTTTGGAGTCAAGGGGGAAGAAGCATTTCAGGCGATGAGAACAAATGGTTGAATAAGTTGTACACTTGAAATTCAGGAATCAGGACAGGACAGGACAGGACCTGAATTCTAACTTTTTCCCAGTAGAAAGACCAATGAGAATAAATTTGCCTGAGACGATGAGGAGAATAGGAATTAGGGGAACTAAGGCAATGGGGAGAAGGATGGAGATTTCAGCTTTGAGCTGTCAATCCATGAATGTTTTTAGATAGCCTTTTATGTAGTTGCTGTCATGATATGTTTATGTACTGTAATGAAGGAGTTAAGCCCTAAGGAGATAAGCCGACATTAAAACACCAGTTGGGGATGGTGACTTGGATGATCAACACGTGGAAAGGGCCCTAAGCTTTGGATTAAGGGGTCTGTGGGATTGGAGAGTCTGAGAGGTGAGGATAAAACAGCAAAGGACATTTACACGATATCTGGAAAGGGGCGAGTAGAAAAAGTTTTTACCTGGAAGATTAGTTGAAAGTGAGAGATAAAGGTGAAAAGTGAGCAGCTCTACTTGTTGAAATTGAATTTTGGTGATCTGCACAGTTCAAAATAATTTTTCCCTTGAGTAGACCCAAACCAAAGGAACAATATCTCTTTTAGCCTGGTGTGCCCAATTCACTTGTGAAGAGAAGTGCAGGATCACCCCAGCTCCTCCAACTACACATGGCTGGTTCTCTTCCTTTTCACTGTGCTGTGGGCAGAAAGAGAGGAAGAGCCGAGTGAAGGCTTTATCACTTTTTTCTTATCTGTCTTCAGTGCTTCAGCATCTCTTGAAGTGCAATTCATTGTGCACAGCTGCAGACATTTTTGTCATTGGATTATTCCGTCTTGTCTGTAGCCCGTGTAACTTTATCTTCCACTCCTGTTGCTCTAACAGTACCGCCTGCATCCTTCGGATTGAAGCCTTCAGCTACGTTGCCATACATATTCATTCTTTTCACAGTTGTCGTATGTCTGCTATGTGTCAGTACGTTCACATTGCTCAGTAAATTTTAATAGTGAACTAGATGAAATTGAAAGAGACAGTATCACGAACTTAATTGTGAAGACCTAGGGGACTGTCGTGTTGGTTTCTAGGTTTGCCTGTATCTGACAGAACCTCCAAATAAGTGATTTAATTTAAATAAGGAAGACATCTATTTTTTTTTTTTCACGTAAGAGTGAGCCAGCATGGCAGTTCTGCTACTCAAAGTCCTGGGCCCTATCCAGCTTCCTGCTGCAGTATTCCTAGGGTGTTGCCCTCACGTGCTTGACTTGCTCCCACTTCTGCAGCCAGCAGAAAGGGGAAAATAAATGCATGGCCCGGAAGTTGCTGTATCATTTCCAGTCAGAATATAGTTACATGGTGACACCATAGCTGTGAGGTTGGGTTGGAAATGTGTTCTCTTTGGGGCAGTTATATGCCCAGATGAAAATCTATTGCTGTAGCAAGAGGGGAAAACAAATATTGGGGAAGCAACCAGCCAACCAGGGATAGTATTAGTTATCTCATAGAGTTGTTCTGAGGATTAAATGAAATAATATATGCAAAAGGCATAGCAGTGGCAGACACCCTTTCTAACTGTTGATGGACATTTGGGTTATTTACAGTTCGAGACTATTTTGAATGAAGCGAATGCGAACAGTCGTATATGTGTCTTTCGGTGGACATAAACATTTATTTCTCTTAGGTATATACCTAGGAGCAGAATTGCTGCTTATAGGTATGTTTGTTTTTAGTAGATACTGCCAAACGCTTTTCCAAAGTGGTTATATTCCCATCAGAATGTGTGAGAGTTTCAGTTGTACCACATCTTCTCCCACAGTTGATACTGTCCAGCATTTAAATTTCAGCCATTATGTTGGGCAGGTTGTGGATTTCATTGTGGTTTTAATTTACATTTCTTTGATAAGTGATGGTATGGAATCACCTTTTTATTTGGTTATTCACCATTTGGATTTCCTCTTTTTAAAAAAAATTTTAATGAAGTGCCTGTTCACAGTCTTTTGCCCATTATGTTTTAAGAATTGGAATATGTCTTTTACTTACGGATTTCTATACTGATTCTGGATGCAAGTCCTTTAGACATAGGTATTGTGATATTTTCTCCTATCCCGTTGCTTGCATTTTTACTCTCTTAATGGTATCTTTTAATAAAGAAAAATTCTTAATTTTAATAAAGTCTAATTTGTCATTTTTTTCTTTTATGGTTAGTGCTTTTGTACCGTAATATTTGCTCTTCCCATATTTAGAAATACATACTTAAAAAATATGTGAAACTATTTTTTTCTCTGCTACAACATAGGGGATGCCATGGAGAGTAGAAAGCCTGGTCCAGTGCAGGTTGTTGTGGTTCAGAAAGACCAACATTCCTTTGAGCTAGAAGAGAAAGCCTTGGCCAGCATCCTCTTGCAGGATCACATTCGAGACCTCGATGTGGTGGTGGTGTCAGTGGCTGGTGCCTTCCGAAAGGGCAAGTCCTTCTTTCTGGACTTCATGCTCCGATACTTATATTTCCAGGTAAGGTAGAATTATTTCATTGCAAATTAGAAAATTAGAATTTATGTCCGAAAGAGCAAAATAAGCTCATGGATGATTCTTGATGTGTAAAATGACTCAAAATTTAAGATTTAATGGAATTGTCTTATTTTTACTGTAGAAGGAAGGCGGCCATTCAAATTGGTTGGGTGATCCAGAAGAACCGTTAACAGGATTTTCATGGAGAGGGGGCTCTGATCCAGAAACCACTGGGATTCAGATCTGGAATGAAGTTTTCACCGTGGAGAAGCCAGGTGGGAAGAAGGTAAGGAAAAAAAGGCTTACAAATTAAAAACAACAAAATGAGAACTTTAATGTGTACTCCTATAGTCCAATTAGAAAATAATTTTTATCGAAAACGATAGAAGTGCATGATTTAAAGGTAATGCGTGAGTATAGTTTAAAAGGTCAAATAGTAATATTAGGTTTCTAATAAAAAATAGTAAGCTGTAGCCGTAGAGCCTCTCTCCAGATTTCTTTTTAAGGAATGCGGGCGGGAGGCGGGGGGAAGTCATGTGTCTCCCAAAGTAGAAGAGGGAATTTGGGGTATTGCTGTTTCTTAAACTTTAACCCATTCCTTCCTAAGGCACACCTTCTCAGCTATTGGTGCCTCTCATTTTTGCGGGACTTGAGGTTTCAGACACCCCTGCAGGTTGTTTAGTTCCAGGTTTTCCTAAATGCTGTCATTTAATATTTTGGAAGCTGGAAAGTTGATATACAACTCTTGATTGCTGTTTTCACATCTTCTATTCTATTTCCTTATAAATTGCCTTATTAATCATTTTATTTCTTTTTTTTCAGTGCGGTTTTAGGAGAAAGGTATATTGGAAAATCCTCAAATTTTTTTTGTGCATAGATACACATACAAAAAATGTATCAAAATGGGGAGGTTATCACACATTTTTTTTAAAGAAAGAATCTAGGAGAATAAAGAATTGTAACATTGAAATATAACATTAGAAACTTTTTTATGGAAAAAAGTTTCCATATTTTATCTAACCTTTTATCTAACCTTTAGTTTTATAACAGCTTAATTGAGGCATAATTGACATTCCATTTCCCCTTCCAAGTTTTGTGCTATTGTTGCATATTTTACTTTAATAACATTGTTTTTATTTTTGTTTAAATGGTCAGTTAAAACAGTTATCTTTTAAAGATATTTAAGTAATAAGAAAACACCATATATTTACCCATGTAGTTACCATTAACTACTCTTCATTCTTCTGTGTCCATATTTCTATCTTTTTGTCCATTTTTCCTTCTGCATGAAGGACTTCTTTGAATATTCTTAAAGTGCTGCTCTGCTGGTGCTGAATCCTTTTAGCTTTCATATGTCTGAAAGTCTTTATTTTGCCTTTATTTTTGAAAATATTTATGCTGAGTATAGAATTCTAGGCTGATAGATTTTTCTTTCAGTGCTTTAGAGATGTCATTCCCCTGCCTTTTTCTTGTCATTGGTTCTGACGAGGAATCTGCTGTGCCTAACATGCCTTTTTTGTCTGGTTGCTTTTAAGATGTTCTTTATCATATTTTTGGAGCAATTTGATTATGATGTATCTTAGTGTAGTTCTATTCATGCTTCTTGTGTTTGGATTTTGTTGAGCTTTTGAATCTGCAGGTTTATAATTTTTGTCAAATTCTGGCATTTTATGGCCATTATTTCTTCAAATATTTTTTTGTCCCATATCCCCTTTAGGGATTCCTATTACATGTATGTCAGGATGCTTGAACAGAGCTCACTGATGCTCTGTTTATTTTTTAAAATTCTCATTTTTCTCTTTCTGTTTCCTTTAGGACAGTTTCTATTGGTAGGTCTTTAAATTCACCAATCTTTATAATCTGCTGTTTAATCCCATTCAGTGTATTTTTCATTTCAGACATTGTAATTTTCATCTCTAGAAGTTCAGTTTAGGTCTTTTTTATGTCTTTTATGTCATTATTTAACTGTTTAAATATATGGAATACAGATATGCAGAATATTGTTTTAAAGTTGTTTTCTGTTTTTAACATCTGTGTCAGTTCTGGGTTAATTTTAATTGATTTTCTTCTTATTTGGATCATATTTTTCTGCTCTGCATGCCAGCAAATTTTTGATTGGATGCCAGATGTGTGAATTTTACCTTATTAGGTGCTGGATATTTTTGTATTCCTATAAAATATTGAACTCGTTCTGGGATGCAGTTAAGAAATTTAGAAACTGTTGGATCCTTTCTAGTCTTACTTTTAAGGTTTGTTAAAGGGGACCAGAACAGTATTTAATCTAGAGCTATTCTTCACTATTGAGGCAAGACTCTTCTGAGTACCCTAGTATTATGGTTTTTTTGCAGTCTCATTGGAGGGAACAGGCACTCTTCCTGACTCTCTGTGAGGAGTGGAGACTGTTTTCTCTAAACCTTGAATGGTTCTTTCTCTAGCCTCAGGTCGTTTCCTCATGGACACACGCTGGTCAGTACTCAGCTGAGCACTCGATGGGGACCCTCTGCAGATCTCTGGGGTCCCCTCTGTGGCTCTCTCCTCCTAGGTGCTCTGCCTGAGAGCTCCAGTTTCCCTGGTCTCCCTGACTCTCAGTTCTGTCTCCTGGGCTCAGGGAATCAGTTGGACTCTGCCCTGGTTCCCCCTCCCTGAGCTTTGCCCGGTAAGCTGGGACAACTTTTGGGCTCACCTCATCTGTGTCCTTTCTGTCAAGGATCATTATCCTTTGTTATCTGATGTCCAATGTCTTGAAAATGTTTCATATATTTTGTCTATTATTTTTTCGTTTTAGATGAGAGAGTAAATCCAGTCTGTGTTATTCCATTTTGATTGGAAGTGAAAGTCCAATCTTTTCATTTTCGAGATGCTGAAATGAGACCCAATGAGTTAAAGGCCTGCCATTGGTAATATAGCTAGCCACTCTTAGAGTTGGCATTACATACAGCAAGGTTCTTTGACTTTCATGTCAGCTCTGATTTTCTGCATTATGCTCTTTCTACATTTCTGGTAAGGTGTGGTAGATGTTTTCATAATTTGTTTTTAGGGTTTTTTGATTACGTGATTCCTTTGTATAGAACCAGTAGATCTAATTTTTATTTTTGGGGCATCTGGTATATTAATTCTCTTTAATAGCTCAGGAAGTCTTTACAGTGTTGTTAGTAGTAAGCAAGCTTTGCTTTTAGGTACCTGACTTTTTTTTTTTTTTTTTTTATCTTGTTGAATTGACTCCTATAAAGCTCCGTGTTTTGCAACATCATTGTGGTTTCTGGTCTTTTAAAAAAATTAATAGACTTTATTTTTTAGAGCAGTTTTTGGTTTATAGGAAAATTATCAGAAAGTGCTGAGTTCTCACATCCTCTCCTCCTCTCAGTTTCCCCCTGTTATTTACATCTTTTATTAGTGTGATTCACTGGTTATATAATGAACCAATATTCATATGTTGTCATTAACTAAAGCCCATAGTTTACATTAGGGCTCACTCTGTGTCGTTCATTTTATGGGTTTTGATAAATGTATGATGACATTAGCTACCATTACTGTATAAGACAGAATAGATACACGGCCCTAAAAAGCCTCTGCGCTCCACCTCTTCGTTCCTTCCTTCACTTTCCCCTCCTCCCTGAGTTCTTGGCAGCCACTGATCTTTTTACTGTCTCCACAGTTTCGCCTTTTCCAGCATGTCATATAATTGGAATCATACAGTGAGTAGGCCTTTCTGATTGGCTTCTTTCACTTAGCAATGTACTTTCGTGGTTCTTTTTATGATTTGATAGCTCATTTCTTTTTATTGCTAAATAATATTTCATTATATGGATGTACCACACTTTATCCATTCACCGACTGAAAGACACCTTATTTGCTTCCAAGTTTTGGCAATTAGGAATAAAGCTGTTCTAAATGTGTGTGCAGTTTTTGTGTGGACATAAGTTTAAACTCATTTAGGTAAATGCCAATGAGTGCGATTGGTGGCTTGTATGGTAAGACAGTGTTTAGTTTTGTAAGAAACTGCCAAACTGTTTTTCAAAGTAGCTGTACTATTTTGAACTCTCTAAACAAGGAATGAGAGTTCCTGTTGCTCCACATCCTTGCCAGCATTTGGTATTGCTAGTTTTCTGGATTTTGGCCATTCTGTTAGGTGCATTGTGGGATCTCATTGTTGTGTTTCCTAGGAACCTTGTTAGAAAGCATCACG